GATATTTTTTTATTTTAGTGTTTTGACCAGAATTCCCGATCAAAATCCCAACTAGGGTATTCCATATATGGCCCTGTCAAGGGCCTTTTTAGTTTTCCTGGTTTAAAAAAAATTCAAACTAATTAAGTATTTAAAGTTAACATTTCGCAAAAATGTTATTGTAAATTAGTTAAATGATTTCGATTTTAAATAATAATTTATTTCATATTACTAAATTTTCTTATGGGTTCCTGTTAAATTTCCTAATTATGGAACTCTCCATAGTTACCACGGTATTGACACATTTTTCAGAACGATGGCGCAAAAAAAAATTTTTATGTAAAGTTTCAGAAGTATTAATTAAAAGAAGATAATAACTATTAAAAGTAGCAAATTACATTGGATAAAATAATAATTTATAATTTTTTTACTTTACATTGGACAGTAAAATTAACTGAATAGTGACAAGAATGTTCTCAAATATCATGCAAGCCATCCTAGCGTGCGTGCGTGGTTAGTTGGTTAAGTTGTCGGGTTGCGAATCTTAATAGGGTCGTGCGTTCAATCCCCAGCGTTTCGGGATTTTTCTCTGTTAGGTGTTTATAAATTTAAATATTTTAGGCATGTACAAACGAAACTAGTAGGGGAGAGGATGAAAAAATGGATCTCAATACATAGAAAAAAAAGGTGGGTAAAAAGTTGTAAAGATAGAGGATAAAAGTCGTTAGGATACAGGGTAAAGGATAAATTTGTGATGGATAAAAATGTTACTAAAATATTACTAGAAAAATGGATGTCATATTTGAGTAAACTGTCTAATTTTAATAAAAATATTAGTAATTTTACACTTATTAAATCCACAAATTTTTTATAAATAAGTAATTGCATGTGGAAATATTTTGCCTATAATTATTGTCTATTAATAAAAATATCTTTGACTAATACAACTGACAGCTGACGACAGTGCGTAAATAATCAGAACTGGGAAATTACAACTCAACGTCTGTATTGTTGCACGAAGGCAGAGTTGGGTAGTAACTGAATTTTTTGTGCATATTAGGCTGTGTCAGTTCATCGAGATATTTCGAGTTCAAGATATGACGTCAGAGGCCTGGTGGGACAACAAACAGACGACACAATGTTAATCTTACGGGGAAGAAAATTTGTTTCCACTTTCATAAATTTTATTCATACTTTAAACACGGAAAACGCTTGTTGACTTATAATAAAATTAAAATGTGTGTTGATAATTAATTTTGTTATATCGTCGGTTAGATGCAGAAACGTGCCACTTCAGAGTAGTCTTGAAAAACGAGTCATTTCAAAAAACATTTGAGAAACCTGCCATTGCAGCTGAGATTTGGAAAACATGCCAATTCAGAATTGACGTTCGTTTTTTTTTCTTTAGGTTGGCAGTATTGAATGGTTATAAATTTTTACAAAAGATTTTTTCATTACTATTTTTAATAATTATTTTATTTATTTTAATTGTATTATAATTAATTAACTTTTTTCTATTATAATTATTCTTTATTAATTTTATTAGTTATTACATAATTAAAATTTACGTAATACTTACAATTCATTTCATTCAATTTGCTTTACGAGTAACTATAAAATTATTCTTGAGATAAATTTCTTTGTATATTTTTGTGATTTTAGAAATTGTTAATCAAATAATGAATAATTAACAAATTTATTTAATAAATTTATTAAAATACTCTTTTTTCAAACAATAATAACAAACATGTAAAATACAACATGAAAAGTCATTTTCGTACATACAAGTTTATAACCTTTCAGTAGTGTCAACCTAAAGAAAAAAAAACGAACATCAATTCTGAATTGGCATGTTTTCCAAATCTCAGCTGGAATGGCAGGTTTCTCAAATGTTTTATAAAATGACTCGTTTTTCAAGACTGCTCTGAAGTGGCACGTTTCTGCATCCAACCGACGATATATTTGATTCAATTGCATTTATAGATTCTCTGAATTCGTGATAAAATATAAATTTTGAGGTTAGGGGTGTTTGTTTATACTAACTTGAAATCTTTTACTGCTGCGGTAATTCCCACTTAAAATATATATTTTATATCTTTTTTAATAACATGCATACTGGATATTGTTTAATAATGTTAAAATGTAAAATGTGATTAGTAAACAAACTTTTCTAACCTCAATATTTATATTTTATCACGAATTCAGAGAATCTATCAATGCAAATGAATCAAATATATAACAAAATTAATTATCAACACACATTTTAATTTTATTATATGTCAACAAGCGTTTTCCGTGTTTAAAGTATGAATAAAATTGATGAAAGTGGAAACAAATTTTCTTCCTTGTAAGAATAACATTGTGTCGTCTGTTTGTTGTCCCTCCAGGCCTCTGACGTCATATCTTGAACTCGAAATATATCTCGATGAACTGACACAGCCTAATATGCACAAAAAATTCAGTTACTACCCAACTCTGCTTTCGTGCAACAATACAGACGTTGAGTTGTAATTTCCCAGTTCTGATTATTTATGCACTGTCGTCAGCTGTCAGTTGTATTAGTCAAAGATATTTTTATTAATGGACAATAATTATAGGCAAAATATTTCTACATGCAATTACTTATTTATATAAAATTTGTGGATTTAATAAGTGTAAAATTACTAATATTTTTATTAAAATTAGACAGTTTACTCAAATATGACATCCATTTTTCTAGTAATATTTTAGTAACATTTTTATCCATCACAAATTTATCCTTTACCCTGTATCCTAACGAATTTTATCCTCTATCTTTACAACTTTTTACCCACCTTTTTTTCTGTGTACTAATACTTATAATAATAAATTTACTACTTTGAATAGTTTTTTTTATTAAATTTTACAGTTAATCTTACAATTTTTACATAGTTGTTTCAACTTTTGTTTGTTATAGGCGCCCCCTGGAACTAGGAGAAATGTAGTCAATGACAATTAAATGCATCAATTAAATGTAGTCAAATTTACCATGAATTTTTTTTGAGTTTATATAATATAAAAAAATAGGGTATGCGTATGGAAAACTGGTAAGGCCCTGACTAGTTTTCTTTACCTAGGGCATTGGTGAGAAAAATCATTACAATCTTGTGAGGCTTTGATCAGTTTTCCTGACAAGGCCCTTATTAGAGATCGGGAGAACTAGTAAGAACCTCATCACGATTTCTGCATGGGTCATTGATCAATGTATTATTCAATACCAGCGCACAGTGGGAAAAAAATGACCCTCTGTGGACAAAAATCTACCAACAACACAAATCTTAACCGATTTTAATATTTTTTTTTTAAAATACTCGGAGAGGTTTTTCCTGTAACGCACAACTGCGATAAATTTGATTTATTTCAAACTAACCTTAAAAATGATACCTATATATAAAATTACGTTATTAGGATGGTTTAAAAAATAAAAAAATGATTAATTTTGATATAGCAGAGAGTATTGTGAACCCTTTTTGATCACTGAATGCGAATTTGACATTAAAATTGCAAAATTTTAAAATTCAAAATGGCGGGTGCAATATGGCAGGCAATGTTTTATAAAAGTCACCAAATTCACTCGAAAGTTGTTATTCAGGGGTTTTTAAGGTCGCTGGTTACGAATCTGAAGTCTGATTTCAAAAATTCAAAATTGCGGATCCAATATGGCGGATTAAAAAATTAAAAACTCATTGAATTTGCATGAAAGTTGTTACTTGGAGGTTTTTAGGGTCGTTGATTACGAATCTGAAGTCAAATTTCAAAAATTCAAAATGGCGGATCCAATATGGCGATCAAATTTTTAAAAAGTTATTAATTTTTTATTTTATATCCGCTATTTTGAATTTTGACAATTTAACATCAGATTCGTCATCAGCGACCCCGAAAACCCTCGAGTAACAAGTTTTAAGCAAATCTAGTGAATTTCAAATTTTTTTTGGTCGCCATATTGGATCCACCATTTTGAATTTTGGAAATGTGACATCGGATTCGTAATCAGCGACCCAAAAAACCCCCGTGTAACAACTTTCAAGCAAATCCAATTAGTTTTTGATTTTCTTATCCGCCATATTGGATCCGCCATTTTGAATTTTTGAAATTTGACTTCAGATTCGTAACCAGCGACCTTAAAAACCCCTGTGTAACAACTTTCGAGTGAATTTGGTGACTTTTATAAAACATTGCCTGCCATATTGCATCCGCCATTTTGAATTTTAAAATTTTGCATTTTTAATGTCAAATTCGCATTCAGTGATCAAAAAGGGTTCACAATACTCTCTGCTGTATCAAAATTAATCATTTTTCCATTTTTTAAACCATCCTAATAACGTAATTTCATATATAGGTATCATTTTTAAGGTTAGTTTGAAATAAATCAAATTTATCGCAGTTGTGCGTTACAGGAAAAACGTCTCCGAGTATTTAGAAAAAATAAATATTAAAATCGGTTAAGATTTGTGTTGTCGGTAGATTTTTGTCCACAGAGGGTCATTTTTTTCCCACTGTGCAGCGGCGCAAAAAAAATATATTAACAAAGTACTTCCGATAAAAAAAATCGTATACATTTTTTTGTATAAGAACATAGCTTTGAAAGTGAACAAGAAAAAAAAATATTTAGATTTCTAGCATTAATGAATTAAAACACAAAACGAGATTAATAGGCAATTATTATTAAACTGATCATTATGAAATTGAGAATCTTAAATTCCCATCTTTGTCGAGGAGAGACGATGATGAAAAAAAAAGAAGAATATTTTTTTTCCCTACGAAACAATGCACTTCCTTATTTCTTTCATTGAATAAGAAATCAAGGCCGATAAAGCATAATTTGACCATCAACCAGTGAGAATAAGGCTCCAAGTGTGTGCGTTGAAAGGCCCAAAATCTTTGACTTTGCAATAAGAAAAAGTATATATAGAGACGGAGAGAGAAAAGAAAAGTGGGCCTGAAATACACCAATGGATCAGGGACTGTCGACACTGCGGTATCCAAGAAAGAGAAAGAAAGATTGGGGGAAGATTCATCGTACATTCTGATTGGCCATGAACTTCATGGGGCCCATACGCATATATCTGCCTGACGCGAGCGCATCAAGTTTACTATCTTCAACTCTTTCCTCAGGCCGGAAGAACAAATCGAAATAAGAGCCAGGTGAAATTGAAAAAAGAAAAAAAAAACGTGCGGTCTCGCGCTGTGATTCTGAAAGGGAAATAAGTTGTTCTGGCCTGCAAAGAGAGTTGAATAAAAAGTCATTTTTTAATTATTTAATTTTTTATTATCCAAAATTAGTAATTAAATTAAATTATAAAAAAAATTATACGAAAAATTTTGTTCAAAATAAAAAAATAATTTTTTTAAATTAAATTTTTAAATTTTTACATCATGAAGTTAAGATTGTGTGCATTATTGGGAATTTGTTTTTTATTTAATTCTGTTGTGGCGAATTTGGCTGATGAGGAAACGGGAATTTTGGAGTGTATTTTAAAGGCAAATAGCGCAGCATGTGCAAGAAAAAAAATAGCAAAGGAAATTGATCAAATTGAATTTGATATTTCTGGAAAAAAAAGTGATGTACCAATGAGTGTTGTACTTGAGGAGACGGGAAATTTTGTCGCCGAAACACTTAATAATTTATTTGGAACTGATAATACTAATTCTGAGAATGAGCAAAATGATGAAACTGAAAGTCGAGGAATTGGTACGTTAATAAATTTAATTAATTTATTAAATTTTATGAAAGATATTAATTAATATCCATATTAATTAATTACCATTAACATTAATTAATATTTCCCTAAACGATAAAGAAAATATATATATTATATCCCTTACAATTTATTATTAATAAAGTATAACTAATTAATTTTGTATTACTAAATGATTAATAAAATTAATTATTTATTATTGAATTTTATTATTGAATTAATGTAATTATTGAATTGCCTATTAATTTATTATTATTTTTATTAAATTGTTATTAATCAATTAAATTTCAAATTTTATGATTAAATTATTTATTGTAATTAATTTTTAACCAACAAATTGTTACTGAACGTATAATTATTATTATTAAATTGATATTAATTAATGACTTTAAAATAAATATTAAATTATTTATTGTTATCAATTTGTTATTATCAAATTGTAATTAATTAATTAATTTCAAATTATTATTAAATTATTTATTGTAATTAATTTTTAATCAACAACTTGTTATTGAAAGAATGATTAATTAATTTTTATTATTAAATTGTTATTAATTAATTATTATTAAATATTTATTTTAACAAATTGTTATTAAACTGTTATTAATTAATTATTTGTATTAAATTGTTATTCATTAATTTATTATCATTGAATTTTTATTAATTAATTATTAATAAATAATGATAAACATCACTATTTAATACACAAACATTTTCAAATAAAAAAAAAATCAACTATGGGAAATAAATAAATAATTTTTCACATTCTGATAAAGAGGAATATATAGATATATATAATTTTAAAAGACGATTTTTAGTAAACTTAAAAGTTGGATAAAAATGAAGCTGAAAAAACTTTCTTTTCAATGCCGTTAGTCGATCAATTAACTGGGCCGCTGAACAAATAAAATTGGCCCTACTGCATGGTATGCGTCCAATTATAAGACAACACCAATAGCCATTGCATTAAATTTCATTCGATTCAATGTGAAGTGTTAAAAAAAATTTTTTCTTTTTATAAATTTATTTCTAATTTAGTTGTGAATTTAATTTGAAACCTTTTTTTTATACTTTCACTTATTGTTAGAAAAAAAAATTTCTCTAAATTAATGTCAATTTTTTTTAATCATAAAATAAATTTCTATATTGATATAAGAACAAAAAAAAATTTATTGAATTCAAAAAAAAAAAATTTTTCCTAATTTATTTTTAATATTTTTTTTTTTTTTTTTAAGTCTGTGTTATATATTGGTCTTTTTATTAAAAAAATTTCTCGTGTTTTTAAGTTACGAATCTGAAGTCAGTTTTTAAAAATTCAAAATGGCGGATGCAATAAGGCCACTAAATTTTTTAAAAATGTCTCAAATCTCTCAAAATTCGCTACTCGGAGGTTTTTTGGGGTCACTGATTACGAATCCGAGGTCGGTTTTTAAAAATCCAAAATGGTGGATCCAATATGGCCACCGAATTTTTTATAATTTACCAAAATCACTTGAAACTTGCTATTCAGGGGTTTTTAGGGAGAAATTTTCAAAAAATTTATCGGATTCACTTAAAACTCGTTACTCAGGGGTTTTTTGAAGTTACTGATTACGAATTTGAGGTCAGTTTTAAAAAATTCAAAATGGCAGATCCAATATGGCCACCGAATTTTTTATAATTTACCAAAATCGCTTGAAACTTGCTATTCAGGGGTTTTTAGGGCCTCTGATATCGAATTTGAGGTTAGTTTACAAAAATTCAAAATGACGGACAAATTTTCAAAAAATTTATCGGATTCACTTGAAACTCGTTACTCAGGGGTTTTTTGAGGTTACTGATTACGAATTTGAGGTCAGTTTTAAAAAATTCAAAATGGCAGATCCAATATGGCAACCGAATTATTTAAAATTCACTAAAATCGCTTGAAACTTGATACTTGGGGGTTTTTGGGGTCGCTAATTACGAATCCAAGGTCAGTTTTTAAAAATCCAATATGGCGGATCCAATATGACAACCGAATTTTTTTAAATTCACTAAAATCGCTTGAAACTTTCTACTCGGGGGTTTTTGGGAACGATGATTACGAATCTGAGGTCAGTTTTTTAAAAATACAAAATGCTGGTTGCTATATGGTGCACTTTTTTTTTCATTTCTAGCAAATTTTTTTTTTTTTTTTGTTAAAATGAATATAATTTTTTTTCATTTGTCAGAATTTAAATTTTCTTTCAGGATTTTAAAGAAGAAAATTTAAAAACTAACGAAATATTGAGTTCCAATTTTTTACAGGACCAATAAACTTTTTTTGACACAAGACAAAAAAGTTAAGTTTTTAATTAATTTTAATTTTTAATTTAATGATTCAAAAAATTTTTCTGTAATAATTATTATAAAACTATATTTCTGAATTTAAAAAAAACTACGAACTATTAGACTTCAACGTTAATTATAGGCTTGAAAAACCTTTTTTTCAAATTAGAATATTTGCCATAAATTATTTTAAACTTCAGCGTTATAATTATAGACTTGATAAACTTTTTTTTTTCAAATTAAAATATTTGCCACTGAAATAAATGTTATATTCATATATTATACCTGTAAATAAAATTTTATCATGTTTATTAATTTTACGATTTTATCATTATCATATAAATTAAAAAGAAATTAATTTAATCTTTATTTACAATATAATTATATGACAGCAAATTTTTATTTCTTGATAAATTATATTATTATTTAAATTACATAATTATAAATAACATTGTAAACAAATACATTGTTTCTATAAAAAATAATTAATTTTCTCAATAATTATAATTTTATCGATAAATAAAAATTATATATATATATATTGAAAATAAATTATTATTTGTTTATTTAAATAATCAACTACCGTTTCATAAAGTGTTATGGTAGTAAATATATATTTTTTCAAAAATAATTTTATAAATAATGTCTTTAGCTATAAAATTTCACAACATAATGAATTTCTGTTCGTGCTTATAATATCTCGATAAATAAATCATTTTCTGAAATTAATCAATTCCTGTGTATATGTGTATTTCTTTGAGTGGAACCATATAAAATTTGGAAAGTAACCAAATTTTTTTTTTTTTTTAATAATAATGGAATGCAGTCACGTAAAAGTATGTAAAGTAGGTGAAGATTCTTGAGTGAAATTTTATTTGGTATTGCTATCGAATAATATATACGTGGGTATCGTATATTTAAATTGTGTTTTCATGTCACATGCGGTTTAATGTATTTGAATAGGTCACTATATACAAATTCGCATAACGGTTATAACAACTTTTGTTCATTCAATCAATTTTTTTTTTATATCTCAAGAAATAAAATATAGTTTGTATTTTCAAAATTGATAAGAAAAAATATTTTTTAGAATCAAGATTACTTCAATATTTATATATAATGTTAAGTAAATTATACGGGTTTAATTTTTATTTTCTATTGTGCGAGATAAATTTTTCTGCACGAAAAAGGGGGACTTAATAAAAACAAAATTTTTAGGTTATGTTTAGTTTTTTTTTTTTTTTTTTTTTTTTTTTTTAAATTTTCAGTCTTATATTTAAATTTAGAATTAATGTTTAATGTTAAAAATTTTCATTAACCTATATATATATATATTACTGAAAAAAAGACCTCTGATACTTTTTCTAGGTCTTATATTATTGTGATTCGATTAAAGCTTCCTAGGTAACGGACGTGAGATGAATTTAGATCTCTGACTAATATTATAAAGTACAGTAAACTTTGGGGCCATTTGTAGAATGTATTATATTTTGAGACTTTATTTATAGATTTGCATTTTTATTTTCTTTTATAATTTTTTTACTACGTGATTTTTTGATCTTATATTTATGTTCCGAAACAACGATACATTTTATAATAATTTAAATTGAAATAATAATAATAATAATAAAAATAATAATAATAATAATAATAATAATTTTAAATGTAAGTAAATTAAAATTTTCTATTTGTTTTTGGGACAAAAAAAATTGTTGATATGGGATTGTTATTAAAACTATTCGGATTGTTCGGTGAACAAACAGCATTGTTTGATGAACAAAGAAAATTGTTATGGAACAGTTGAAATAACAAAACTAAATTGTTAAATCGGCAATACAATTTGTTGTATTAACAAAGCTTTGATCCGTCTAATACAATTTGTTCAGTTTCTTCGCCTTCTAAAATAATCGATAGCAGATTTCCGTAGGTCATATCATCAGTTTCATTTGCATTAAAATCTGTGGAACATATAGCTTCTGAATCAAATTCTTTGACCTAAAACCAAAAAATTATTTTCAGTTGAAATTTGTTGTTAAATAATATTTAATGTATATTTTGTGTTTTTTAAGGTGAGGTTATGTTTAGTAGTAACCGACACGAAGTAGTATAAAGAGGCCCCACTGCTATATATTAAGCCCACGAAAAGTTGAAGCTGATTTCCCCGTTTCTCTTACAATTAACGGAGGTGTCGAACCTATCGGAAAATTTGGGAACTAGTTACCCACACTGACTAACAAATAGATGGCTACAGTGACATAACCTGCATAAAATGATTGTTTTTATATCGCTTTGTTTTCTTCTGGTTTTTGTAAATAATTTAAAGAAAAATAAGGAAATATGATTAGTTGTTCTATTAAAGGTATTGCAAAACAAATTGTGTTAAAGACAATACAAAATATAAATCTATTTACAAAACTATTTTCAATGAAATCCAAATAATAATGATAAGTTTCATTTTAAATATAAATCTTATATTAAGTATATTTTTATCACAACCATAATTAAAATAAAATTTAAACAGTTTAATAATTTATATTTACTTGCAGTTACTAATTTTACCTGGATACTGTATTTTTACACAACATTAATAATTATATCATGTTTATATTCATGGAGATTCTCCATGTTTATATCGCTCCTGTTACTTTTAGCAGACGAAATTTCGGAGGTATCAAATTTTCCCGTTAGGGTTCGACACCTCCGT